TTCATGAATCACATTGAAGAAGCTTTTCTAGCTTAGTTGAATAACTGTAAAAGGATGGCTTTTAGCACAGCTTTATGCTCTAGGCTATTGTTGAATAATCTGCGCCCATCTCTCATCCTAACAGGAAATGACAAGGGATGCTGTATCCTCAGATTCTCCATATTTTTAAATTCTTTTTGGTTTCTTGAGTGTGTGGGGGGTGGGGTGGGGGTGGTTTCCACTCGTTATTTGTTTTTTCTTAAAACAAAGACTAATCAGTGATCTGTTTTTCTTGACTGACTAATGTTGCCTTTAATGTTCTCAGTTCTGTTTGCCTCTGTCTTTGCTCAAGGTTTCATTAAAAGTTCCGTAAACAAACTAAGTAGGTGAGGAGAGAAAGCACTTCAGTGTTTATGAACAGCAAAGACAGGCTGGTGTTAAAGGGAATTTTAGAAGTTTGTGTGGGAAGTGGTGACGCTTGGGCCTTGCACAACTTTTCCTGGGTGCATTGCTGTGTTCCTTAATACTACACCAGGATAAAGAGATCTCTGCCAACACAGTCCATTTTCTCTTCTGCTGCAATCATTCCCTTCAATAGGTATGGATAGGAACCAGATTGCACTAGATGCATTCCTGGTGTGATGAGTCTGCTACAGTGTGTTGAAGAAGAACCAGAGCATCTAGTTTCATATCAAGTAACCTTCTTTCAGGCGTTATTTCACATCTTAGGTTCTTTTTCATGGCCTTTGTGTATTGTACATACAGGTTCTGCACCTGCAGAGAGCCTTTGTTGGAAGGCCTTTATTGGAACCTTCTAGAGCTGAGATGGTTTGACTAGGAGCCTACTTTATCCTCTTCCTGTGCAAGACTGTGCTGAGACCATGAGAAGGGCTGCCTGCCCTTCCCTCCTTGGTGGTGGCCTTGTGTGAAAGCAGATCTCTGAATAACAGCCCTGGCAACAGCTCTCCTATTGCCCGAGGCAAGATGGCACACAGCAAGACTCTGCATCCCCATTCCCATTGCTGTATTGTGCCCCTTTACCTTTGCACATCATTCCCCCACTTCTTTACCCTTCTCATGCTGTTTACCACATTGCATCCCCTTTCCCTTACCACCAAGGCATCATGTCTCCTTCCCTTTATTGCAACATGTTCCACACTCCCTTCCCATTACTATCACCAAATTGTCCTTCACATTGTGGTCCCTTCCCCTTCCTGTGCCATCTCCCTTCTTCTTATTACCATTGGACAATGCCTTCTTCCTGCAATGCACCCTTCCACCTCCTTCCCTTACTGTTGCTGCATCATGCCCTCTTCCTGCATCAGACCCCCACCCCATCTCTTCCCATGTCGTTCCTCCTTTTCCTTTACTGTTGAGCTGCTCCTCCAGAGGAAACTGCCAATGAGGTTCCTCAAAGAGACCGCCAGGCTAAAACATCTGGCTCTTAGAAAGGACCTCTTTGGAGCCAGGGATTTCAGCTTGGCTGGCTTTCTGAAGAGCAACAGACTGGCCACTTCCTTGAAGCAGACAGTGCCAGGCCAGGAGACAGGCCACTCCAGAGAGTCCCACTAGCCCTGTTCCTGCTGTGGCAAATGCCACATTGCGAGAGCAGCGGGCAGGATTCTCTGAAACAGCGAGGACAGACCTTCCTGGCAGAAGAGGAAAGCAGTGCAATTGATGCAGGGCATCACCTGTGAGTCATGGGTGGACCATGCCTGATGAATACGATGATCTAGAGGGCCCTGTTAAACAAAGGAAAGTTGAAACCTAGAGAGAAAAAATGTAGAGAACAACACAGCAGACAGTCTCTCTCTGTACTCTCTCTGCACATGCTTCCCAATTTTGTATCCCTGTTTCATATTCTTTCTCATTTTATGTTGCACTAAAAACTTCATTCCACAAGTGAACCCAAGAGATAAATTTCTAAATCCTTCACCTTAGGATAAATGATTTCTGACAAGAAGGTTCTGGTTGCACATAGATAGAATGGGGATAAACTTGGATAAGGTTTGAAACATTTTCCTTAAACAGAGTTAATTGCCGGGTTTCTGCCACATAGCAGTTTAGATTTTATTTAGTATGATAGTTGAAATGTTGCGCAGTAACATGCACTTTGATAAATCAGACACTAAAGTAGCCTTCTTCCAACCTGATGCCTTCCAGATACATTAGATTAAAACTCTCAACATGCCACTGTTACGTGCTGGGAGTTGTCCAACATATCTGTATTGGGAAAGGCTGCATCAAAGTATCGCAGGTCACAGTAGTCCAAGATTGTCCTTAGTTTGGGGGAGGGGGTTACGCAAAGCCATTTCCAAGGCCGTACTAGCTACCTATTTTTAATGAGATGCCCTTTTCTGTGAGTTTGTGAGTCTGAGTCCATTGTATGCTCCCTCCCCTTATAATGGGGAATGAAATATGTATTAAATTCATGTGTTTCATTGCCCAGCATGGTTGCCAATAATAAAGATGGCATTTTTCACAAAATGAAATGTAGCATATACAAGTGACCACAAATCAGTATATTAAATTTTTAAGGGAAACTTAATTCCTTAATCATTATTTTTAGAATTGTTATATTCAATACATTTCAGTGGCATAACTTCCAAAGCAGACCATCTTAATTTCATCAGCATTTTCTTTGTCTTAGCCAAAGATCAAGTTGTTAACAAATCTTGCAAATCCTTTTTCCATTTCATTTCATTATTATTTATTATTCATTTCATCTTCAGGCTGCAATGAGTGCTGTACTGCCTATATCTGTGATAGTAGATACATTTTCATAGAAAAAATGCCTGCTACATCTGTAGTGTGGAAAGTAATGTTCCGCTTCAGTCACCAGCTTACAAAGTTATCTGAGGCTCCACTATGACTGCAGGGCCCTGTTCTATTTAGTGAATGTAGGCGACAAGTTGAGGCGCTTTCAAAAATGCAGTTTATTGTCCCACAGGTATATTTACTGTCTGAGGTTAACTACAATAACAAATCAACTGTAGCGATTAAGCTAAGAAATATTGTGCTGAATAAACACAGGTGCAGATCTGTTAAATATGATGGTGCACCCTCCACACAACTGCATGTTTAATGCTTGAAATCTGTTCTCTAATGCTCAATAAACTGCAGCAGCAGGTTCTTGAAGTATTCTAACCACCTTGGACTCCTGATGCACTAAGGATTTATTTGCCCTTTGGAATCTATAAAACCTTTAAAAAAACATTGTATTGGAAGGCAAAGTAATACATCCTATTAGAAGAAATGTGATTATCTGGTAATAATAATGTATACGTTGTAAAGAGATAACAGGCCTTGAAGCAGGCCCTGAAGGCTTTTTTAAAATTCAACACGGCCTATAAATGAGTCAGGGCTTTTGTGCATGCAATTATGTATATAGAGTTATAAGTTCTAATTCAGCACTAGAGTTAAGACTTCATGGAGATGGCTTTCTCTGTGTCTCAGCTTTGGTGGTGGCATGGCTGATGGTGATGAGAGAGGCCTTCTCTGTGCCTGCACCTAAACTGTGGAAAGTTTTGCCCCTGAAAGCTTGGATGGCACCCTCTTATATTAGGTTTCACTGCATGGCAAAAAAGCTTTCTGATTAGGCTGGGTTTTGTTTGATCACATCGATTTTTTTAATACCAGCCTCTGTTTGTATTATATTGTAACACTTTACAGGATGTCATTGTATTTTACAGTTAGCCCTCCTAAGTAGTTCATAAGCACCAGAAGGGAATGACGTAAATAAAAAATAATTCAGCTTTGTTTGAAGTTCAATCACATAGCGCAAAGAAAAGATGCTATACCATAAGTATATGACTAGTATGAACTCATGTCTCATGAAAGCATTTAATCAGTGGCTCACTAGTCATACTTGTGATCTATGGCTACCAGTCATCTGTGAGTGTGTTTGAATCATCTTGCTGCTTTTAGGCACAAATATGCTTTTTGTATGTGGCAATGTATACAGCTGATACTTAGTTTCTTGGGTTTCAGACCTGCCTGCCTCTCTCTATAAAAGGCAGCGTGAAGCTTGTCCACAGGTATTCTTACATAGAGGTCTGAGAACACAGCAAAGAGGAAAATGGGGAAACATTTGGCTATATAGTGCAAACAATGACCTTGTTTTGTATATAACTACAACCCATGGGCTGAGCAGCAGCAGGCAAATACACAGCCTCTTGCTGCTTCCACACTGTTTGTTGTTTAGCAAAGAACTCAGGAATGTTCCATTCTTAGGTTATTTGCCATGATGTCCCAATCTGGCACCCTAAATTGTTGAGGGGGAAGCAACCTAGAATTTCCCATTGGGTTAAACCTCTGGGTTGATCAGATATAGCTGCAAATAACTCAGGAGCCTGGATTGCTTTCTAAACCGGATGTATAACATCAGCAGCAAACAGGTGGGAAGTGGCACACTTGCTTGCTGCTATGTGGTCCTGACCAACTATAGAGTTAGGAACCCAGGTCCTTCTGTGACTTAAGGACACTGAAGATGTTATTTGAAAGAAGTAAGAAATACTCACCTTGTGGATTATTGCATTATTATAAAGTCATATAATTCCACAATGGTGAAACAAGTTTTGTGAGAAGCTATGTGATATTATCTGTGGAAGACAGGGATTAGTGACTTTCCTGATCTAACAGGAAATATGTACACTAAGCCAGGGAACATTTGACACTACCATGAACAACTATCTACTCCATTTTGCCTTTTTTGATCACAGGGTAATTTTATGGTTGAAAACTTTCTCCCAGACCTTTGTTTGAGCTGCATAAAGAAATAAGAAATTTTGGAAGGAACTTGCTAAACTTAATGACCTTTATGATGTAATGATATGGTAAAAATGGGATAAACTTGAGTCTGAATTCAACAGTAGTCATTCTGCTCTACTGTAGTAATCCTTTTAAACACTTTTACTAAATTGTTTGTCTTCCATATTTTGTCATTTTTTAAAAATGAAAAATCTTTTGTTTTTTCATTACAAATCTGACTAAACTTTCCTTTGTTAAACTTTCTCCTTCAGTGTTTTCGAGCACTTTGCTGCAAAGGCCCTCCACCACCACGACCGGAGTATGACTTGGTTTGCATAGGTCTTACTGGTTCTGGAAAGACTAGTTTATTATCACAGCTCTGCAGTGAAACTAGAGAGAATATAGTGTCAACAACAGGTAAGCTAATGTCCTGTGTAACTTCTTAAACTACCTATATCTTTCAAAATTGTGGCATACTTCTAATGCTTACATCAAGTCCAATTAAAAATGATTTCAGTTTATGCTTAACTTCATTTATATTTGGCTTATTTCTTAATGAAGAAATTATCAGTCTCTAGTGACGCTCTTGTGATTAAAATAGGCTGCTGTTATCCACTATATCACTTACATACCTCGACCTTTTAAAGTTTGGCTTAAATAATATCACAAATGAGTAGCTGTCTTTTATTTCAACCTTACTCTTCTATTAACAATCTGTCCTATTACTCTCACCTCGTGTACACATAATGCTAAGCCACTATGGGTTAATTAACTAGTGGGGCTTTGTGGTATGGGACAGTAGCCATTTTGAAAATGGAAGTGGCAGCATGCGTGTACTTTAGCTTGCAATGTCATGAAAAACAGGGTAGAATGGGTTATGCATGGGTTAAACAACCCTTGGATAATCCAAGAACACCCATGAAAAAATTGCCTTTTAAGTCTTCATTATACCACATTTGTGAAATTTGAAACAAGAAAAAAAGGTACCACAGCAAAAAAGAAAAGGCTGCAAAGTGTGATTGTAACATGTTATGTCCCAGATAATATGCAATGATTTGTGGTCAGATCTTTAACAGTTGGATGAATCTGGTGTATTAAGAAATTTAAAACAATACAATGAATAGATGAGCCTGTAGAATAGTTATTAAAAGTTCAAGATTTCTGAACGGTTAGCAATAGGAACACTGTAAGTATGTGACAATTAGTCCAGAGGCAATTGAATGTCCCAGTGCTAGGACTGAGGCTTCCTAAATTGTTTACTGAAAAATGATTTGTTTTTTTGTGAAGAAAGTAAGTGAACATGCTTGCTCTCTAGGAGTCTTCTTCATGATTACCAGGTCCCCCCTCCCTTTTTTGACTCTATTTTTAAATTTGTTTTTTCCAAATGGGAAGCTGAACCATCTTATACTTAATTTTAAAACCCAGACCATATCTTGGCCTTATATGTAAGTCTTGGGCAAGTATCTTTTCTTTTAGTCTCTTCAGTTTGTCTTCTGGAAAATGAGTGTTTCTAACCATTTAATTGGAAAAACCTTCCCTTACAGCAGCCATTTTAGGAGAGCACCCATGATACAGAAAATTCCAATTTGGGACCTTTAATGTGGAGGATCCCTAAGCTGTGCAGGGAAATTTGGGAAGTATCGCAGTTTGGCCCCAGTCCTGAGCCTGGATTAGTATGAAGAAGAGAAAGAAATGTGGGGAAGAGATATTTACTAGATTCTCTCCTTACAATTGTGTGAAATACACCTGTGTAGAGGCTTGCTACATTAAACAGTCTTACCTTTAGGCACTGTTTCAGTTTGTTTGAGGGGCAACATTTTCTTTCTAGCCATTGCTTGCCATACTTTATTTTCTCCCAAAGGCTTTTACTAGTCTATTAGCACAATGTTCCAGATTTAAGAATGGCCCACACCTCCAGTTTGATCCTAAAAATTATGCCTGGGGTATCACTGATAATATGTAATCATAGTTCCTTATGGTTTTGGGGAGGTTCAGAATTTTGTGTTTAGATTTCAGTATGTTCAATTTTCCATTACAGAGAGATTAATTTGATTTCACAGTGTGGTATGAACTGAAAGCATGCAGAAAGATAAATAAAATGCTACAGCATTTAATGTAAAATAGTTTTCCTTTTGATTTTTTGAGCTTGCTTGCTAGTGTAACATGTTTTGGATCAGGGTAAACTTTTTTCATTCTTGATAGTTGTCATCTAGAAGCTTTTTCTCAAAATAATAACTTTAAAGATGTCCCCGGTCTGTTACAATTTTGCAAAACATATTTATACATTTTTCATTTTGTATAGCTATGTTTTTGAATAATTCTAAATATTTGGCAGCAGAGTGCATGCTGAAGAAATGAAGAAAAAGGCAAAGGTTTAGGATTAGGGAAGGAGTTAGTAGGAATATAGCTTTTGATACTTCGCCCAGACACTTTAAGTTTTCAAGATGTTAAGGGAGCAAGAGAAGAGTACTACTAGTAGTAACAGACCTATTGCTTTGAATAATCTCTCCACTGTACAAGTTACTAACTTTTAAATCTCTAATTTCAGGTTTTAGCATAAAAGCAGTGCCATTCCAGAATGCTATCTTGAATGTGAAAGAGCTTGGAGGTAGGTATTAATTAACTGGATATGTGATTGATACTTTCCATTCCATTTAGCATCTGTTTATAATAACGAATAACACTTAACAGCTATTAGGGCCAGCATTCCCAACCTGGTGCCTTCTATGGCCATTTACCATGCTGACTGGGGATGATGGAAGCTTTAGTACAATACATTTAGAGGGCACCAGGTTGGAGAAGGTACAGCTGGCATGGTCCCTGCTTGAAAGGTTATAATTCAAAGCTGATGCAATGCAGGAGGAAAATAAATAAGGGAAATTTAAAATTGTAGATGAGCTGCTGAATCTAAAGTGGTTGGAGGGAAAAAGGAAGAAGATCAATTAGAACAATCAGGGAAGAAAATGTAAGTTAAAGTTAGGCTTAAAATGGCTATATATAGATCAAGCAGTGTGAGCGATTTAAGGTATCAGGCTGAATTCCCAAAGTAAGATGTTACTATAGAAACAAAACACAAATGCAGAGTAATTCTAACTATTCTGGCAAAAGCCATACATGCATGCTGTTTTAGGAATGAAATGAAGCCATAAAACCTCACAGATCTTTCCTTGTTCCCTTAGTAATAATTTAGCCCAACGATATTCCCAACCAACCTTGGTGCAGCAGGGGAACTCAATACTCATGAGTAGAGCAGCAGGTGAAGCTTGTTGCATTCAGATCTGGGAATATACTTGAGAGGTTCATAATCCTCACGTAACAGAGGAGTGAAGCATGAAGAGCCCCAGTATTAATCTGAATGACATTAAAATTTGAACAGGAGAGCCAGTCTGCTGTGAGCAGAGGACAGATGCATCACTATTAATGAGTAGGGATGTCAAACAAATCTGTAATGGGCTCATATGAGTTTGATTTAAAAAAACCCTTGGATTCTGCAGCTGTCCAGCTTTTCCTGAGTCACAGAGATTCATTCCACAGATTTACAAACTGTACCGTTTTAATTCTGTAAGTTTAAGCAAATTCAGTTGCAGAGAAACTCAAAAAATGAAAAACACTCTCCAGACATGCACATTTCTCCCATAGCCTGAAATATGAAAATATACATTGAGAGTTATGTTAATTTTCAGGACTGTGAATTGTGCAAACATGAATCCACAAAGATGCAAACGAATGCAATTGTGCAAAATCAAATTCAGTGAAATGATAACTGAATGAAAGAGTTCATGATAATCCAGAAAGTATAGATGGAACTGTCCATAAATGCCTACTAATGCGTAATATGAACAGAAGCATTTTTGTGAGGGCAAATTAATATCAGGCATTATGCAACTTAGTGGCATGGACTACATTTTTCTTCTTTGAAACCTTTATATCACTGTCACATAAAACAGTAAAGGACTAGCAGAGGGGCAACTTTTTAGGAGGACTTGTGAGATCTTCTGCAACCTGATGACTTCTTCTGTAACAGAATGTAGAAAATTCCTTTTTTTCTGAGTCACATTTTTATTTTAAGAGATATATGCAGTACAGTCAGAATATTAATGTTCACAATAATACAATTCATATAACCAGTCATTAAATGGTCTGTTTCTATACTATTAAAGTGTACTCTTCCAGAAAACAATGCAATCAGCTAGACATCCATCCATTCCATCAGACCTTAAGAAATACATCAAGAATGAATACCAAATTTTAATAAAATCATCTCTCTTTATTTCCCCTCTAACCATATGAAAGCAGGTGGTCAGCTTTTATATCAATGCCACTGACCAGTATCCTATCAAGATATTTTCTAAATGAGAGCCCTTGGGCATCTTTCCAGAATCTCTTACAATCTTGGCTTTTGCAGCTCCCAGATGTATTGCTAACAGTTCTTTACAATTCAGTCCTTCATTCTTCCCAGTGAGCAATGTAGAAAACCCTTCAGTGTCTCTCTGCTAGCTGTGCACATCTCTCATAATTTATCTATATATGTCAAGCAGTGAATAGGATGGTTATATCTCTTTTACAACAAAGTCCAGCAATTAAAAGCATTAAAATAATATCCAGAAAAACACTGGTGATGGAGTTACTGGGAATGTAAGTACCCACATAATAGGAGTGTTGACCCTCTCTGAGCTTGAAAAATTCTGTTTCTGGGATGTTCTAAGAAAAGGGGCATTCCAGATGTAGGTCAAAAGGGGTAGAGTCAAAATGACATAGCAATTTAGTTTAAAGCTCTTAAATGATAGACCTTTCAACCATTTAGAATGGGGAAAAAACCTGCCAAAGGCCAGGAAACCAAAGGCAATTGGTCTCTGGGGAGAATGGGAATGAGACCTTTCTTTGTAGTCAGCAATTGTTTGGTGGAAGGGACAGGGACATAGCTATTTGAAGACACTGCAATATCATCTTGGGGAATGTATTCTTGGGGAATGTATTCAGACAGCCAAAGTAGGCCTTCTGCTACCAAGAATCCTCTGTAAGTGGCCTTGCCAGATCACTGTCTTAGAAGATGTGTTAAACCCACTATAGGGCTGGTTCCACTATCACGAAGTCAGATTTTTGGACATCCTGAACAGGCTGCAAAATTTTGTTACTGTGGTTTCTTTCTTCCCCTGTGAGGGTAGCTGAATACTTTGCCTTACCTTGGGCATTATGGTTTGTCAGGTGGAGGAGGACATGCTATTTCCTCTTTTGCTTCAGCCATCAAAAATTCTTGAGGTAGCCCTGCATTGGAAGCAGAATCATTCAAGCAATATAAAGAAATGAGAAGCATTGCAACACTAGCTACTATTCCAACAGTGACAGCTTGAGACTGAAAAGGCCTATTTTTAATTTTCCTGGCAAACATGGGTATGGAGAATTAGTACTTGTACCTCTGTTGCATGCACTCATGGTGGCTCCAACAACTATAACTTCAAGGTCATGTTTCACAGTGTCTAGAAGTCATATTAAATTCTTCAACTCATAAACTATCTGTTAAATGCCAACATAAACTGTGGATGAAAAGGACTGCTCGAGAATTGGACTCCTCTTCCACGTTTAAAGAACAGTATTATTTTCAAATAAAATGCTTTTTGAGTGCATTTTGTGCTGGATAATGTGTTTTTGCTAGATGATGACAGTGTTCAATGAAGACATTAGGTTAGTCTCCAATATAGTGCTAAGATGTTGTATGAGCAGAAAATTTCTAAATTGGATCAGGCAACTTGTCCTTTCAATTCGTTATTTGAATATGAAACAGCTGGAAATGTTTCAGGAGAAAATAATAATGGATGGAAAAGTACAAAAGTCAGGCTCTAGACTTACCCTGTGGAGAAGTGCTTTGTATGTAATTATTTGTTTTGTTACATTAAAGCAATTTGTGTGACCCTTGTGAGGTTATAGTGAATCTGAGTAGGTCCAGAGGCCTAGCACTCCTTTGTTTTTATTGTATATGGTGTTTTAAACCATTTCGATTGCTTTGAAATAAAGTTATCTTTATTTTGATTGGCCAGGTAGATTATAGCAAAGATGATTGGCCATTAGAAATTCCACAAGGAATGGGATTGGCCAGGAGAGTTAAAAAAAAGTGTGTGGGGGGGAGCAGTTGGCAGTTGGAGTTGTGAAGAAACTGTTGGTGTGTGAGAGGAAGGAGCAGAGAAAAACACCTGGATAGCTGATGCTGGAAATCTCAGCATTCCCATATGTACAAATATCTCTTTAATAAACCAACTTGTTTAAATATTTTACCTTGTGTCTGTTGGTGGTGCTCATCTCATGGCCAAGCCTCCTGTACTGTGCTATTGGGCTGGGGGGTGGGGGCAGGATGTCAGATTAAGTTTATTTATTTATTTAAAACTTTTATATGCTGTCCTTTATATATGACATCTCAGGATGGCTTACAAGCATTAAAATCAGAATACAATAAAACGATCAATACAATATAATAAACAATATATAACCTATAAAATAAATCAAAAGCGACTGTTAAACATTAAAATACTAATTTTTAAAATAACAATTGAATAAAAAGGTTTTGACCTGGCGCTGAAAAGAATATAGCCTCAGCACCAGCCAAACCTCTCTGGGGAGCACATTCCACAATCTGGGTGCCACCGCAGAGAAGGCCCTACTCCAAGTAGATGTCCTTTTTACCTCCTTCAGGGAGGGTTCCCGGAGCAGGGCCTCTCCTGTAGATCTTAAGGGGCGTGAGGGTGTATAAAGAAGGAGATGTTCCTTCAGGTATCCCGGTCCCAAGCTGTTCAGGGCTTATAGGTCAAAACCAGCACCTTGAATTGAGTCCGGACTTCAACTGGAAGCCAGTGGAGCTATTTGAAGTTTAATTTGAAATTATTCCAAAAGATTCGATGGCAGCAGAAAAGGGTGAGTTGATTTGTTCTTCACAGTCTCTGCATCACACATATGGGCTCTGTGCCTGTGGGAAGATTCTACAGCTAGGCTTTAGGCTTTACTTTGCGTGGGAACTCCTTCCTATTCCCTGCATCAGTTCCTTTTCACCTGTCTCCATGCTTAGATTGAGAATCATTTCTCTCCTCAGCTTGAGTATTTTTTTCAGCCCCCAAGAGAGTGCTGAGTCCCAAGTTTGGTCCCAGGATGGAGCCCCTATTGATCATTGATACTGAGGCCCTGATTAGTCCTGAGGGAGTGCTTGGATGCAAGAGATGCTTTGATCCTGGGAGAGATGCTCTGTCTACCATCAACACCGAGGGCCCAACCAACAGAACGTTCAAGATCTGACCCCAGAATGACCCTGAGCGCTTGGTATTGACTGACGATATGGGCCTGGCAGCATTGGTATCTGGGGGGAAATAGGGGGCACCCCTCCCCAGCCTCCGACCTGACCACCCTCAGAAGCTTTGGTATTGAGGAAGCTTCAACATCCAGTCATTCTACCCATATCTCACTGGGACAGAGACCACTTGCTGAAGCAGAGAGGTGCTGCTCCCGCTCCCACTCATCACTGCTGGAATGAGACTTGCCACCAGCTTTCAGTCAGTCCTAAAGGGGCTCCAGGGCACCCCACAGGGAATATTGAGACTCTTCAATCCCAAGAGGATGTCCAGGTCTACCAGCTTCAGCAGAGATCCAGTGACTCAATAGCATGTACCAGCTCCTGGGAAGAGACATTCTATTCCTTTTCCATTACCTGCAGTCTAACTGAGTATCACTGAGTTTGCACAGGGCTGATTGCAATGGGGATATTCAGCAATGGTAGACCAGGAAGGCCAATGCCTAGACAGTTGGCAAGGTGGGTCTGCAACCTCAGTGCTTGAGTTTGAGTCTCCAAATATGAGGCCACCATGGCCTGCTACCAACAGTTTCTGTGGAACAAAATTGGCGGCAGAGGCCCTCCTCTGGGAACCCTCCATGAAAGATATTAGGAGGGTGAGTACCCGGAGGAGGGCCTTCTCTGCGATGGCGCCCCACCTATGGAATGCACTCCCCAGAGAGGTCTGCCTGGTGCCATCGTTATTTGTTTTTTGGTGCCATGCCAAGACCTTTTTATTTAAAAGTTACTTTAATTGTTAATTGACTATTTTTTGGGTTTTATATTGTGCTGCAATGTCTCCAAATTTTTAAGGTTAATTGTGTGAATTGTATCTGTTTTGTAAGCCGCCCTGATGCTTTTTGCGAATGGGGCGGCATAGAAATGTTTTAAATAAATAAATAAAAATCAGGGCTATGTGTGTGGTTACCTCCATAATGACTACAGGGAACTGGCCTACATATTCCAGTCAGAGGCCACAAAGTTCACTTGTCAGCAGATCAGTACAACAAGGCACTGTGTTAACTATGATGACAAGGTGATGATAAGCATTATTGGCCATCAGGAGGCATGCATGGCTGCCAAGGGAGACATGCTCCCTCACTGAGAATCTCCCCTTTAATGGGAAGGGCCTTTTCAGTGTACACAGAAGGATCATAGAATCATAGAATCATAGAGTTGGAAGGGGCCATTAAGGTCATCGGGTTGAACCTCCTGCAGTTGCAGGACACCAATTTACACTGTCTCAGGGACTCCCGACAGAAGGCCAGAATGACAGCAAGGACGATGGGTTTCCAACAATTGTCCACCAGACTTCATAAGTGGTTTGGGGCCTTCAACCTTCATACCAGCTCAAGACCTGTGCAAGCATGTGCTCAGGTCCCAGGTACCCACTCCCCAGGCCAGAAGGCACAACTCCAAAGTCTGCTTCAAGCTACCATGAAAGTCCCCAGAGGTGGACAAGTGGCATTGCTGACTGTCCCAGCCAGCTACCCACCCAACACCAATTTCAACAGGCATCTCTTTCTATTCCTTTCCCACCTGGGACGTGATAAACTTCTACTCCTGGGTCTTTTCCATCATTCAGAGAGGCCACCAGATTGAGCTTTATGACACCATTCCACTGTCCTTTGTAGGGTAAGCTTGCTAGTTGCCCATATGTGTGATGTACAGAGACCACAAAGAAGAAAGTCGGGTCTCTTACCCATAACTATCATTCTTTGAGTAGTCATCTGTGTACTCACACAACCCACCGACCAGTCCCATTAAGTGTCAAACAGAAGATAACTAGCCCCTCTCTGTAGGGAGCACAGAGATTGGACCAGGGCAGAAAAACACTTCTCCCTCAGTCCTGGGACTTACAAGAGGTATCCATGAAACTGAAGGAATGAATGGGAGCCCCTCCCCATGGATGCAGGGAACAGGAAAGGGAGAAATTTTTTTTCCCCACCCATCCCAAGAGAAAAATTGGGATAAGGCAGGAATTTCCCCTGTGTGTCTTTTTGAGTATCTGGGTTGATCAGCTGCTGCTGGATGTTCTTTCCTACTTTAGACTTAAAATAGTGGCATATTAATTCCTGTCACTCCACTTCCATGGATTGCCCATTATATTTAATTTTTGAGTAAAGCAGCAAATGAAGATGAATTTCTAGTAAGATATTTCCCTTGGCACTACTAGTGTTCATGAAGGTGACATATCCCAAAGTGGGTAAGAACTCTTTGAAGATCTTCAGAGCCATACCAACAAGAAAGAAAGATCAATGACAAAACATTTCTGCTTGTGCTAAATTAGCTGAATTTTTTTGTGATGCAGGAGAAGTGAATGCCTTTTAAGGAGATATATGATAGGAAAAGTGATGTTTGGTAGACTTGGAAGAATACTCTTAGGTGTTTAATCAGGAAAGACCTCTAGCATAACTGAGGATGGTCATAGATTAGTAGAGTTGGAAGGGGCCATGAAGGCCATTAAGTCCAACCCTGTGGTGTTGCAGGACACCAGGTTACACCATCCCACTCAGAGGGGTGTCCAGTTTCTTTTTGAATGTCCCTAGTGTGGGAGAGCCCACCACTTCTCTAGACAGCTGGTTCCACTGTTGTATTGCTCTGACAGTGAAGAAGCTTTTCCTGATGTCCAGCCTGAATCTGGGTTGTTGCAACTTGAATTGATTATTCCATGTTCTACACTCTGGGATCAGCAAGAAGAGATCTTGACCTTCCTCTTTGTGACAACCTTTGAGGTACTTATAGAGGGATATCATGTCCTCCCTCAGTCCACATTCCCAGTTCTCTCAGTCTCTCCTCATAGGGCAGTGTTTCCAAACCCAGGATCATCAAATGTGTGTATCTTTACCTGTGGAGTGGGGAAGAGGCTGGGTGGAGGTATCAGGCCAGCAGACAGTTAAAGGTAATCTTAAAGGTTTAAAAGTTTTTCATATCTGCTGATCAGGCCCAGACAGGAATTGACAGAGCACAGTTAACAAATTTATGAAAACTCCAGGGAAATGTGAAGAAACTGACACACACACAAATGCAAAGCATTTATTTACAAATTTATATACTGCTTTAAGTTTTCCTGGCATTATAAGCAACAATTATCAGCACTAAAATATCATCAAAGGAAAGCCAGAAAGTACCAGTTTGTGTAAGAGATAGCTCCCTGAACAATTTTGGTGCTAGGAATGGAGAGGACAGAACAAGTTTGGTAGGCCAAAATAGGTTCCATCAAGCTTTATAAGCATGTTACTAGTAGTGCAACAGATTAAAATATTAAAGATTTTATATTAGAAGGATGAAATTGAAATTGCATCTTGAGTGTAATTTCTAAATATGGACTTTATGTGTTTTGATCAATTTAATATTGCTGCCTTGTTTTTCCTCTAATTATCATTAAAGGGGCTGATAACATCAGGAAGTACTGGAGCCGTTATTACCAAGGATCCCAAGGAGTAATATTTGTATTAGACAGTGCCTCTTCAGAAGACGATTTAGAAATTGCTAGAAATGAACTGCACTCTGCGCTTCAGCATCCACAGTTATGCACTTTGCCATTTTTAATACTGGCCAATCACCAAGACAAGCCAGCAGCTCGTTCAGTACAAGAGGTATGTTTAACACATCAAGATCTTGTGCGTTCCTAATTGTTGAGTGGTGTGATGGGAAGGACATCATATGCAGGGCCTATAAAGATTAGGTGAACAGCATTCTTTCCCCTCATCTTGCTTAAGGGGGAAAAGATGCTTTTAACTTCCTCCGCCGAAGAATACCTCTGTTTTTAATCTAGGGGGGTTTGCTATTAGTTTAATTTTGTTTTCATCTTTATAACAGCCTTAGCACTCTCCCTATTCTTTCCCATTGCTTACATTTTCCAGCAGTATGCACACTTTTATATAAAAGCTTTTATGTTTATTCCCATGCCAATGGTTAGCAGTTAAGTTACACTTCTTGTTCCTAACTTTTAAAAATCTACTACAAATCTCCTACCCTATTTAGGCAAGCCTGTAGTCATGCACAGATATACATACCCACATTTACTTTTCTTATGCATTTCTCTATTACTGTATTGACTGTTTAAGGTGATATTTTAAAAAATACCTTTACTTGAACTTAAGATTTATTGTACCCTTTTCAGTAAAGGGACACATTTTCTATTATAAAAACTTGCAGTATATATGGTATTCATTATGCTTGAATATAACATATTTTATTAATGTTCAACTTGTAGTGCTGGAATATATAGCATGCACTGTCTTTATATTGCTGCAAAATTTATATAGTCTTTTATTTACTGAATTGCATCCTCAAACTCTATTTTGGCTCACATGGGTAGGTATTGCATGATTTGGGTCTGTTCTGATAATTAACTAAATCCGTCTCTACACATGCCTTGTTTTCAGATGTCCCTGCTGATGTAAATTTTATTAAATATATGTAATTGCTTACACCTTATTAGTTGGTTTGATATTTTTGTGCTTCGGGTTGAATATGCATCCATCTTTTACTTTTTTAATGTTCATAGTATCCTGTTCTCCCATCCAAGGTATGGATCAGCTTTATCTGTAAGCTCAGAAATTGCACCCTAGATTTTAGGAAAGCTACTTTAACAAGTTTAGAGAAATACTGAGTGTTAGCCTATGAGCATAAATGCTCAATGAAGGATGAGTTCATGATCAGTGGGAGTTTACTAAAAGCAAGATATTGAAGGCAAAATCACAAACCATTCCAGTGAGCAAGAAAAATGGGAGACATCTAAATTCTCTTTCATCAGAGTTCCTTAAGCAGAGACAGGATAACCACCCATGAGGGATGCTGTGGAAGGAGATATCCTGATCAGCTGGGGACTGTTTTATATGACCTTTGAAGTCCCTCTTCGCCATCTTGAACACTTGTCAGCACTTGTTTGCAAATGGATTACAACTGAAATAAAAGAAATTGCCGGTAAAATTATAGCAATAACAACAGTTATTTAGTTATTATAGCAATAACAGTAAAAGTTAGGACACAGAGGAACAACATGTTAGTTTAAAATCAGTTTGCTGAAGATGGAAATTGAGCGCTTGTTTGAAAAGATCTTGTGAATTAGCTTGTTGTGAAACAGGACTGTAAAAGACAACTTACTAGTGGCCTGCAGCCTGATAGATGGTGAGACGTTAAAGAGGTGTTCCTCCCTAGATCTCAGAAAATAATAATTGTTCCATTGTATTTATTATATTGCACCTTTTTTCTTCTTGTAAGGAACTCATGGCAGTTTACATAGTTCTCCACTTCATAAAAGAACATAAGGCACTCCTTCCCTTCAAAACTCAGACTTGACAAGAGCTTTCAAAATGAGCACCAACACTTTGAATTCAATCTGGAAAGAAATCAGCAACCAGCAGAATCTCTATTGGATGTACATTATGATTTCTCTGTGGCTAGTGTCAGATTACCTTGTCTGGTGCAGTCTGGACCAATTGATGTTTTTCAACATAAGCCAGATTGGCATAGATGTTAGTAGACAATATATAACTTCGTTCTATGTCTACTTATGCAAAGAGAGACTATAAAAATGAAGCTGCAATAGCCTAACCAATGTTTGAACTGCCATTTTTTATTAATGAGGAATACCTTTATGAAATGTTTACAAAAATGCATATGTACTGTAGTTCAGTGACAAAGCACATGCTTCACATGCAGAAAATTCCAAGTTAAATCTGTGGCACTGCCAGGTAGACCTTGAAAAGACTTGTGACTGAAGCCTTGGAGAATGGCTGCCAGACAGTGTTGACAGTACTGAAATAGATCGAAAATTGGTCTGTCTTAGCAGCTTCCTATCTCTCAGAATGGTTTTTTGGAATACTTGACTTCTTGTAGACTTCACATAACCAGCAGCATGGACAGCGCAGGAAACTTATTATTTATTTATAAAACTGCATCCAATAGTTCCAAAATGTAAAGCTTTCTTGGCTAAGGATACAAATAAAGCCAAGATGCTTATTAGTTCCTGAGGTATTAGAAGATTAATGTTCTGTGTTTACTACAAAATGCTAATGATGCAGAGAAAATTACATGCTTTTGGAAATGGGCATTTGTTGCTCTGTTACCAAAGTGATTACTTTTATTAACCATTCTGATCATTGTTATTACTTTTATAACAAATAGAGATGTAATCTGAAATTCAGTAAAAGATTAAATGAATGTTTTATGAATGTCTCTTAAGCTGTGTCCAAGTTTTATAAAATGGTAAGTAGGGATGGGATGTGCCCTCTCTACCCCCTTGCATTGTAAAGAAAATTGAGGAGAAGAAGCCGTACCTGTGTGCTCCAATGGATGCATGAAGCATTCCACTGGAACCTCAGTGCAGCTTCTATTTACACTTTCCTCCTATATATGGGTAAGTTGAGAATAGAAGGAATGCTAGTACATCCAACCCATATTCCATTCACACATGGGATTTATAATGCTTGTACCAGTCTTCTAATTATTTTGCCACCTTTCCCCATTTCCTCATATAACAGAAGTCTGTGTCACTAGGGTATTATTAATGACTGGGGACAAATTCAACAAATTCACCATGTGTACCCAATCACTGGGCAGAGTCATAATGCATAAAGTTGCTTTAAAGGTATCCTGTGGCTAGCCTGTTTAGGATTTAAAGGTTGAGATTATCTTTATTATAGATGCAGTGGGTAGTCTTGGGTAACTTCTGTGTCAACTCCAGGTTTCTGAGAGCCCTTGGGCAAAATATCTTAATGAGCATCTTTTATCAGTTACTCTACCTTCTGAGTGCCATTGTCAGCAGCTGCTCTTGCTCCTCCTCACCTTTCTCATAATTGCTACCACTTACTTAACAGGCAGAGAACCAGTGAGCAAGTAGGCAGTGGCATCTACTTTGTTTTCTTCTCACCACTGCTGTTATCTGGGTCAGAACAAGAGGAAGGTGGAAAAGCAGATTGCATTGATGAAGAGGAGCAACTCTTGTCAGTGGACCCCTGCTGGGGGATGGGCCTTCAGCAGGTACCCAACCATGCCAGTCTTTGATGCCAGCCTTGGGGAAATCACAATTTCTCCAACATAATCTTTCAGAGATGGCTGAAAGATCAGTCATGAAGATTGACTCTGAAGTGCTATAATAGACACAAAACCGTTTTGTCTAGAACTGCATAAAAGCCAAGGAGATTCTGCAACAGCTGTTAGTACTATTCACTTGTGGGAGGTGTACTGAAAGTTTTCCAAATTTGCAGCTTTCTTAGCAAATATTTTTCTCTATCTTTGGCATTTTCAAAAATAGCATTGTACAAAGTATTAATCCAACCCATTAAGAAGAAAACCACATGTAACTTCATTTGAAAAGCAGGTCTTCAGATCCAAAATTGGATGTTACTATTGTTTGGTTATATGAAACGCAACATACATCTCATTTCCTGTTTAGAGCTCTACCAATTTTGAAATGTGTTATAAAAGACTGAAAGTTTGTAGCTGCAGTATTCTATTGCTCTCTATTTATTGCCTTTCAAAGATCTGACATTATCATTTTTCATTTTATCCTTTTAACAAATTAATCTTGCACTGCAGAAGTCTGCTGTGTCTCTTAACGATATGGTTTGTACTGTAGGCTTCTTAGAAGAGCAAACCTTCCCCTGGGAGTATATTTAATACTCACTAAGCTGATTCAGACACCGAAGAAGTGAGGATTTAAGAAATATGTCTTGTTCACTTTTCTGTATCCAGCTTGTAGCATAACATCCAAAGCAAGGATGTACATGCTAGTTCGGTACGTTCAAAATCTCTGGAACATAATGATCTCTGTACAACAAGAGAGTGCTTGCTCAAATGTTACATTAGAAACTAGGCTTTAGAAATATGCTTCTAAAACTTCATCTTATTTTATTTTTAAGTTGTCATTTGTTCTTTTGTTTGTGGATGTCTCTCTACTTAGTTGTTAGAACCCTGATGGGAGCAACCTAAAGCCACTTTAATAATCAAGAAAGCCTTTATTTACACAATACTCTGCTGTTCATCAGTATATGTTGTATCCTCTCTTCAGTACATTAAGTTCCAGCTCTCAGTCCTGATACATTATTGAACAAGCTGGTGTGTGGTTTGCTTGTTTGTTTGTTTGTTTGTTTTTTAATAGGTTGAGAAACCTCAGTGCTTCCTAAGAGTGGCTGAGGAGCAGCAGGCTCTTGGATTCAGTTTGGCTTTGGTTTATTAATCTGAAAAAATATATATCTTTCCAGTCTTACTGCCAAGACCTTAGCTATTTTCTTGGCATCCAAATAGATGAGTTGATGGGGCTGTATGATGAGCAAAGTGTAGACTCTTTCCCAGTTAATTAAGCATTCCATTTTCTGCTAATTACTATAATGCAGGCTTTGTTTTGAATGGCATCCAGGAACCTTTGTCTGAATGGTTCTATAATGCTGTCTAGGAAGCTCTTATAGATACCCATTGAAAATGTACTCCATTGAAAACCCATCTGGGCCTTGTGCTTTCCCCCCTTTTTAATTGCCTGTTCAGACTTTTTTTTCCCTTGTCAGCTCACAGTTTTGTGTGTGTGGCAAGCTTGTCCATTCTGGGCAGTTTGATTTTTATCTAGGTATTCTCCCATGGGTTTTGTGTTGGG